TGAGCAACAACATTTAAGGGAGTAAATATCTGGAACTGTCATCTGGTTAAGTTGCTTTGTTTCAAAGCAGATGTAATTAATCAATTTGCCAGAGCTTAAATAAGATTATAGTTGTGAGAACATTGAAGGAATCGCAGAAGTATCTTAGATGAAAAACAAATGAGCCTTCCAATTTAAAAAAAACAATCTAAACTTAATACATGGCTATTTGGAGACGTCATTTATACACAAAAGGCAACATCTTAGTTGATGTAAGAGAATCAGTACAAGTTATGTCACATTTCATGGCAAGCTGGAAATTTAAATATATAACTATGTGCTGTAAGTTTTATTTTGAAACTTTGAACAACAGGTTATTATGATGTCCAACAAAATGTAGGTATTCATTGTCACAGAGGACTTGGCAAAATCTTTCAGCCAGTGAAGACTTATATAAAAATTTTAAAACAAAGCATCCTTATAATAAAAGTCGATTTACTTGCTGCTCTCTCATAAAGGTTATTTCCTCTGGTAGAAGTAGTCCTTGACTTACAACCACTCATTTAGTAATTGTTCAAAGTTACAACAGCACTGGAAAAGTGACTTATGACCAGTTTTCACACAACTGTTGAGGTATCCCCATGGTCACGTGTTCAAAATGCTTAGCAACTGACATTTGTGACAGTTGCAGTGTCCCAGGGTCATGTGATCACCATTTATAACCTTCCCAACTGGCTTCCAACAAGCAAAGTTAATGGAGGGAAGCCAGATTTACTTAACAAGCTCATGATTCCCTTAACAATTGCAGTGATTTGCTTAACAGCTGTGGCATAAAGGTTGTAAAATGGGGCACAACTCAATTAACAATGGCCTTGTTTAGCAACAGAAATTTTGGACTCAACTATGGTCATAAGTCAAGGACTGCCTTAGTTTCACATAGATACCAGTACTTAGTAAAACAGAGGACTCCAACCTTTTTGATTTGGTGGCCCAGAAAGGGAGGCAGGCACCGCTACATGCATGCACACAAATGGGCCGCACATAAGCGCATGCACACATGCAAACAGCTATGCATGAGTGCATGCACACATGCAAACGGAGCCGGTGGGACACTCGGGGGCGAGGTAGCATTAGCATCAGCAGGATGCTCGGGGCGGTGCTAATGTAAATGGGGAGGTAAGTGCACGCACGTAGGGGCCACGACCCACAGGTTGGGGACCCCTGTAGTAAAATGTGTATGGTTGTTGTTTTGTGCATGTGCCCTTGTGTCATTGTTGACTTCTAGCAACCGCCTGGACAAGTCTCTGCAGTTTTCTTAGCAAGGCTTTTTTAGAAGTGATCTGCCCTTGCCTTCTTTCTAGAGCTAGAGAATGACTAGTGCAAGATTAAGCAGCTGGATTTATGGCCAAGGTGGAACTAGAGCTCATGGTTTCCTGATTTCTAGCCTGTTGCCTTAACCACTACACCAAATTGGCTCTCGTAGATAGTAAATGGGGAGTGTCAAACCTTCAAAAGCAGAACGCTTTTGGGCTCTTGTCACTGGGCCATCTCCTAAAACAACTGCCTCAAGACCATGTCCCTGCTTTCAATCCTCACAGACAGTCCAGATGTTTAGCATGATTAATGCTATTGCATGCTACAAAGACTGTTGGGTTATAGACTGCATAACCAGGTGCCACATTAAGTCTCCTACAAAACCAAGCAAGGCACCCTTGTTTATAAACTCATGCCTGAATTCCACCCATCTATGTGTCTCTTTAACCTTTCTAGATATTAAATTCATGGATAGGCATGCATGGTTTCCATGCATATATACGCAGTCCTGTACATTAAATGAAGCAAAATCCTCAGGAGCATTTATTTATAAGATGATCGCCAGTTGGACTGGTGGCTAATGTTTACCCCACTGTGGGAATGAAAAGTCAGATTGCTGCAAAACTGGCTGGCACAAGAATTTTTTTTTACATCATTACTTACCTTATATTAGAATTGGGGGCTCATAATGACCTTGAGGGAAGTCTCTTGCCAGTTTTCTCCCATTCTATATGGTTCTGCCATTATATACAATATATGCGAGAGCTGCTTTGGTCTAGTGATTAAGGCACTGGGGTAGAAAGCAAAAGACTGTGAGTTCAAGTCCGGTGTTGGGTGACCTTGGGCCAGTCACTCTCTCAGCCCAATTCATTTTGGAAGGTTGTTATTGTTGGGAAGATAGGAGGAAAGTGTGTTGGAAATGTGTGCTACCTTGAGTTATTTGTAAAAATAATAAAGACAGGAAATAAATAAAACTGAATGAACTGAAACCGAACATCAAATCAGGGGAAAGAAAACATAATGACAAATCTTGAAGTGATGAGAGAAAAGGAATGGGTTGAGCAAACTTATTTCTAAACCATGGTTTCAAGTGAACCAACATTATGTTTCCTATAATACAACTGTATAACAAATGATGGAAATGTGAGACAGTAAATTTGATAGTCTATAATGTAACCATACAGTAACATTTATTTAAAACATTAAATAATAATGTCATGGGACAAAACAGATGATATTCCAAGTATTTTAAGAAAGAGATATGAAATGTTTTTAAGGGACATTTCTTCATTTAGTCCTGTGAAACAATTAAACATCCTAAACAAAAGAAAATTGAATGATTTAACATGTTGATGGTTTTACTTAAAATATATGTATTAAAAAAAGATTGTATCACATCCTTTGTTTTCACAGAAAGTTTTTTTAAAAAAAAAATAAAATCCTGTCATGATTTTAAACATCTAATTCACATTATCATAAAACAGATTAATCAGTACAACAGATCTTTTAGTAAACCCTTACTAGTACAATAGAGGATAGAATAGTTATTAAATGAAGTAAGCAACTTACATTTTTATAGAAAGGAAAATTAAATAATGAAATAATTATTTTAAAAATTCAGCAACTATTGAATAAACAAGTCTTTCAAAATGGAAGGATTATAGGTTTTTTTTTAATATACGACTTATGCAAACCAAATTTAACAAAAATAGCTTGTCCCACAAGAAAAATACAATACAAATTAGCATAGATCAACAAAAATCAACTAGAATAAATTTCTAGCAAAAACATCCTGAAAACATTCTTAGAACCAGAGACTATTGGGGAAGAGGGAGAAGGGCACCAGTTAAAGAGCAAACCGGCTGTACATGGGTCATCATAAACTCTCCTGATAAAGTGAAATTATGATCAACCATGGAAGTAGCTACATCTATTAGGAATGCTATCTTGTTCAATCTGTCTTGAAAACAAAGCTCTAAGCATGACCCTTCAGTTGATCTTTTGTTCCAGTCTCCAGAGGCATTAATATTTTTGTTCTGAGATTGACCCAAGCTTTGAAACAAAGCATTTTAACAGCCAAGGATCATTACTTTTGAAACAATATAAAAGCAGAGAAGGTCTGATCATACATATTTGCAATAGTTGCCATTGCAAACTGCTTCAACTTGGCAAAGACAATCATGTCACTTTTCGAATGAATATTGGCCAAATATGAGATCATTTTACAACATTCCAGGGAAAAGGAATGCAGTTACTGTAACTTCTCATATTCCCTGGACTTAAGATTTTTACAATTCCCAGCAAAGAGTACATACAAAAGGAATAATTACATATTGGATTAAATGTCTGGTTCGGTGGATATAGTTTGGTTTCTAAACTATATGAGATGGTTAAGAGACCAATCTAGAAATCAAAATGTCATGAGTTTCAATCCCATCTTCAACATGAAGTCAACATTTAAGTGACCTCATGCCAGTCATTTTCAGCCCTAAGAAGGAGACAATGGACAGCCACTTCTGAAAAAACTTCCCAAGAAAACTGCAAGGACTTATCCAGGCACTCAACAGGAATCAAATGTTAATTTGAAGGCAAACACCCTCACTAAGAAATATACACAAGTAATTTTATTTATTTATTCAATTTCTATACCCACTCAACTCAATGTCCTTTTTTAAAGCATTTACTCTGTGTTTTTCCTGCGTGCTAGACTGAATTGCTCATTCAAATTTAATTTTTCTACCAAGCAGTAGCATAGCCCATCTTGTCAATATTTTACAATTATAAGCACAAACCAGCAAGGGAAATATAAAGAGATTTTCTGTTTTGTTTGAGAAGGCCACTCCATAACTAAAATAGATAGCTATATTTACCAAGGATTATGCACAGATTGCAACAATGACAGATGTTTGCATGAGATAGCAGTGTGATGGAAGGGGAAAGGGGCTCGTAATAACTAGTAGTTTGCAAAAATAATTTTTATGCAGAATGGTTTCCTATATTTTCCGGTGTCAATTGGCAACATAAATAACTGTGAACATGTCCATAACTGGGAAAGGAAGCCACTCTTTGTTTTGATAGTTTAAGTCCCTTTGTAGAATGTATAGAATGTTAACTTTACTTGAAAACAAACATTTTTTTTCTAAAAAAAGTTCCTGTCCTTTACCTAAGTTAAAGTAAATTAAGGTTCTACTATGTTCAATTATATAAAAATTCAACAAAACAAAAATAAAAGCAAGCAATGTTATTAACCACCTCATTTGTTTTTGATATTGTTAAATCAAAGGAGCATGGAGATGGATTTATACTTTTAACATTCATTTCACAGTGATACAAATATTTTTATATAATTGCCTGGGAAGAATATACTTTCAAGAAACAATTTACTTACAATACAGCATTTTCACATCAAAAATTAGAGTATTTTTAAAACAACCATTCCCCAACTCAGTCTCTAGCTACATTAAGATTACCACTTCCAACATGTTAAATAAATCAATATATTTGGAGAAAGCCTTGCTGGGGATAAGTGTTTTAAAGGAATGACGAGAATATACAGGAATAACTGGGACAGATTTATATGATCTGAAGAAAAACCAGATTAACCATTTTTAATTTTACTTTATTTTAACATTACTGTCTACTATAATGTTTATGAATTCTGCTGTATTAAGTATTTTACTTTGTTCTTTTTTCCCCTTCTTCCTTTATGTCTTATTTTGGAATGTATACTATACGTGTTATATGGTATCTAGCTGTAAATAAACCTGCTCTCATTTTCATCATCATCAGGGATGCAATTGTATTCCTTTATTATTTTGTAATGATTAATTCCCAGTGATTCTTTTCTGCATAAAGTCTGTTTGATCAATGCAACAATTCTTGGTTCTAGGTAGCAAAGCTGGTATTTATCCTTATGTACGGCTATTGCTTTTAGCTTTGTTGAAGTATCTCCTTGCTTCAACATTGCTGAGTGATACAGAACAGCGTGATGGGTTCTGCCTTCTATACTCAATACTGTCTGTTATTGCTTCTTTGATTACCTGCAAAAAAAGAATCAGAATAGTATCAAAATTGTACTACCGCTATCATGTATCCTCTGCTTGCTTACAGAGAAATATGTTCCATTAATCTTAGTGGAACCAATTTCTAAAGAGGTATCTATCAGATTTGCACTGTATACTTTTTACACTAAACAAACAAAAGATCAATTACATTAAAGAAATAATTTATGATGGAAATAAAATGATCTCGTTCTCTTTGTGTATGTTTGTTTATACACAAGTAGATACAGAAACACACATACATTTCCCATCTATGTATTGTATAGCACATGAATAATCCAAAGACCCCTTTTGTGTCTTTGAATGTGAAACACTACAATATGAAGTCCCAAAGTATTTGTGCACATATCCTAAGCTTATATATACTTCTACTTTCTGAAATAAAAAAGAATACGACACTTTCTAATATATACTTTGGTAGCATTCTTCAGAAAAATGACATATTCTAGCCATGATCCAAATATGCACAATTTCATAAGTGCATAAACGTAGCAGCAGCAAGAATTCCTTCACATAAAGCCCTTTAATGCAAGCAAAGGCTGGGCTTATCCCCCAAGCTATGGACAAGATAATCTGTGCACTGATCTTGTGTATCTTTTTTTGAGATGTTTCCCTTCTTTCAGATATGATGTGCATAATTTAACTTCTGGGACTCCATTTTCATTTAGAATCATTCTTGGCTTAACTAAGGAGAGTATATGAAAGGAGAATGTATGCAATAGCAAAGACTTTGATGAAAATATTATCATGGACAATTGTAACATATGATTTTATAACTTATGCTTGTTGTTTTTAATTTGCATGTGGTGTTTTTTTATTTTAATGGAGAATGAAATGTAACCACTAGATGGCACCTTTTAATCATAATATACTCAACAGTTAGGACTTCTGCAGGAAAAGTAATGTTAGTAATTACTAAACTGTGTAGCAAAAAGAAAAGTTCAACTGTATTTTGCATATTAAAACTGTGGTTTTGTTCAGGAACACAACCATAAACTAACTTTCTCAGCTTCTCCATCTAATCAATCCCCAATTTTTCTGTTTTGTGAAAGAGACCTTAGCATCAACTTTACAGCTCAGTGTACTGAAACCATGAGATCAGCAGCATATAAATTTAATTAACAAATATATAAATCTCCATTGTATTGAACATGCATCAACATGTCCATATATGGAATTTTTATGGGAAAAAGTGAGTGGGTGAGTGGGTTACAAAATGTTAAATGTAAGAAAAATGTCATTGTCTATACGTATGGAAGCCAACATTAGCCAATTTCTGCTTCTCCGTAAAGAAAGTTATGTCTGCACTCTGTAGAAGGAGTTCACCATGCAATTTTGCCCATTATGCATTAATTAGAAGCTCTGCTTGTCAATAAAGCATAACAGGTAAATTCATGGTCAGAACTGACTACTTAATGTATGAAAGTATCTTACTAGTTCTAAGGGTTTGGTTCATATCTTAAGCCTACAAAATGGATTTCGGAAATTAAAGCAACAAGGAGGAAGTAAGGTTAGAGTTAGAGCAAGGAAAGACGAGGTGCTTTTAAAAATCTACAAAGGAAACCTCATTTGAATGGATTAAGAACCTTGGGGGAGGATGATAAATGTCCCTATAGTTAGAGATACAGGCACTACAGAGATTTGCATAATTTGACTATTTATCTGTGCCTGAGTGCCTAAGTAAATAAAATATGATAAAGTCATAATCAAATGATATACATTATGCAAATTGGTTATTTGCATGATGGCATTATTATGCAAACAGCAGAAAGTTGATGTGCTGCCTGGGAACTCTACTGCATCAAGATCTAATGAAAGGACGCGTCATTGCATTGGAATAGCGAACAATTTTAGAATGCATGATACATGATTGACCGTAGCTTCTGGGCCAAATAAGAAAGGAGAAGCATGTTGAGCATGGCTTTGAAATTTTCTCTAATCCTTGAACAGAGAGAGGCTGAATGGAGCATAGGCAGCATTCCAGAACTGTTGCCAACTACTACTTCCATAGGAATGCTTAGGGAAAATGTTTTCAGCCTCAAGAGAGATCTAGTCCAAGACCACCTAGACTATGTTCAGTCTGGTTGGAGACTATTGGAATTAAGGTGTAACACGTTTAGAATGAACCAGGTTGAGATGGCAATTATATGCTTTCTTAATGCCAGGGCAATTTTGACCCTAAGAATATGTCTGCAGCATTCTGAAATAGAATCATTCACAGTTTGGGGTGATAGTCCTAATAAAAAGCCAATCCAAGGTTCTTGCTTGCTGCTTTTTAGAAGAAAGCAAAGATATAAGAACTAAGATCATTCCTGTTTAAACATTTGTTGCTAAAACCGTTTCCTGTGAAAAAACAAATTAATGCCTCATTTATCTACACCAGTGGTTCTCAATCTGTGGGTCGGGACCCCATTTGGGGTCGATCGACCATTTCATGGGGGTCGCCAAGCAAGGCTGTCCGCCATTTTTTTTGTCCGCCATTTTTTTGTCCGCCATTTTTCCCCCTTTTCCGGCGGGTGCCTTACCTCCCTTGGGCTGGGCCAGCTGGTGGTCGGCCTGCTCCATCTCTGCCGCTTGCCAGCTACGCCTCGGCCGGCGCAGGGGGTGGAACCATGCATGCGCAGTGCTCCCGGGCAGGGAAAGTCCTCGACTTACGACCGGTTGGGCAGTCCTCGACTTACGACCGGTTTAGCCCTTGACTTACGACCGGTTTAGTCGTCGACTTACGACCGGTTTAGTCCTCGACTTACGACCGGTTGGGGTCGCGGCATTAAAAAGGTTGAGAACCACTGATCTACACTTTATAGATTTGCAAAGAATGTTCCCAAACTGCTGAAGAAATAATAGATATAACTCTCTGCAAGACAAGAATCAATGGAACTCTAAAGCAGAAAGCATTTCAAAGCAGCAACAGGAATCTTATTTTTTCCCCAACCTTTGTTTGTAGAATTCAAGGCAGGAATTATCGACAATATTAACATATCCTTCCTTATCTGCCTAAATTGAGGAAATTGGCACTTTTGCCCAACAGCCCCACTATGCTGGCAATACCCAACAGCTTCAATGACCATTCATTGTATTGTCATCTGTCCATGTTTAATAATTGCTCTCTTAATAATATTATGGAAACTGAGTGTTTTGCTGATATTCAAAATTGGGCCCATTATATAGAAGTTAGCTATAGAAAGACAACTACAAGTGCATTGGCTGCATTATGTAACACGTACATTTTTGTTTTATGTTATCTGGACCCATTTTCTTTCTAGATTTGAAAGTCAAAGGGGATTATCTAGACATTAATAACAATTGTCAAGATAGAACCCTCAAATGATAGATATAAGAGTCATTGAATTCAATAGAGCATCTAAAACTTCCCTTGTATATTATACATACTTCTAAGTTGTTCAGGGTATTGAACTCCATCAGATCATGCAATCTGCTGAAAGCCTCCTTTGAATATTGGAAGTTGAAAGTGGAGAAAGGTGTGTCGGGATCATCAAAAATATCAAAATCAGCAAAGTCTTTCTCTTCTTGAGTTTCTCTTGGAACACCTATAATTAGACAGCAAAGTAGGAGGTACCTTAAGATCAAATAAGTCAGCAGGTGGGTATAAAAAGCATGCAATTCAAAGTTTAGTAGCTGTAAATTTTCCTTGTAAGCTCTTCCTCTTCCTTTCATTCTTTAAATACCTAGTCCTAGGCACACTGAGAGTGTTACCAAGAATAAACAACCTGTTCTATGGTTTTAGCAAAGTCAATGAAACATTGATGAATCTTACTGTACCTTTGCTACTGTCTCAAATGGAATTTTGGCTTATCGGTTTCAGAAGCTTAAAAAAATGTCATACAGGTTTGCTCCAAAGATCATACAGAGATTGAATGAAATAACAACTGAATACTATGAGTATAAAAATTATCTTAAAAAGTAAAGAAAACCCATGTAAAATAATGATACAAAAATGTTTGCAAAAATGTAACTTTATTTACATTGCAGTGCCCACCTGATCTAAATAAACTGATAAGCTAAGGAATAATTTCTTATATTTGAATTTCATTGTCTATTGAAATTTGTTTTTTTTAAACGTGTTTGAAACAGAAACAGCAGTTACAAAGATATTCCTCCCTCCCTTACCCTGTAGTGTCCAAAAAAAGGACTGAAAATGAAAGTAAATTCAGGGTTAAAAAATAAAATAAAAAAGCATATGAGTAAATCCGTACACAGCAAGGTTTATCTTACAAGGAACTGATTTATTTTTTGTGGTGATGATGGTTTTTTGCTACTGACCTGGTGTTTTGTAATTTCTGAAGTTGATATTGGCCAAAACAAAATGAATAATCGTGGGACAATCTATTTCAGATGCAGGATTTTTGGGCTTGAAGACATAACACTCTTTTAACCCTTCACGATCAAACACATTTGGGTCTATTTTCGGAAAAGGAAGGTTGTTCATTTTGGCCCATTTTTCGGCAAGTAAAATTTCCTGCAAAGAAAGCCATATTTTTTCAAGACACAAACATCAGATAAAAGAACACAAGAAAGGAACAAACTGATACAATCATGCATAATTTAGAGAAAAAGAGAACAGTCTTCTATTGTCCCAAAGGTGTTTTTTCAAAAGGCAACTGGACTTTGTTTTTCCTTGAACATGTTTCGCTTCTCATCCAAGAAGCTTCTTCAGTTCTGACAGAATGGTGGAAGATGGAAGGATGCACTTCACAACCATCCTCCACCATTCAGTTAGAACTGAAGAAACTTTTTGGATGAGAAGCGAACCGTCTTCAAAAAAACCCAAAGTCCAGTTGCCTTTTGAAAAAGCACCTTTGGGACAACCATGACTTGGATGAGAATCTCCATGGACATATAGTCCTATTATTTTATTATTTATTATTTAATTTATTTATTAAATTTATTTGCTGCCCATCTGGTTTCTAAGTGACTCTGGGCAGCTTACAACATAAAAACATTAAAATAGTCAGAAATAAATATCCCTAACCCAATAAAATGACAATACAATCAAAGTAAAAGCTTCATTGAAAAATAATGATTTGGATTTCACATTGCACTAAGTGATAATGTTTAATCCTTTCTACCACATGGATTTCTCAGCTGGTTGAGATGTACAAGAACACATGCTATAACCATATTATTCTACCCAGAGGACAAACAAGTTGCTTTAGTTCCAGTTTTGAAAATTGGAAATCACATACTGCCACCTTTCCCATTTCAAACAAAGTTATCCTGCATGTGCCTTTAAAGATTACAAAACATATTCCCATATCTCCAAAAACACATTTATTTTAGCCTTTTAGCTTTCAGAACAGGTAAAATGAATACCCACAATTAAGGATTGGATTGATGGAGTTCACAGAAATGGCAAAGCCAATCAGGTTGGTCAGGGGAAAAATGATAACGGCTATTTTTTAAAGACTGGACTAAGTCTTTGTACATCTTTGATGTGGACTAAGAAAAGACTGATGATTTATGGATGTGGGGATTAGAAAGGGTTAAGAGGACAGGGAAAGAATAAGATAGCAATAACTCAACAGAAAGAAGGAGGGAAGTCAAAATTCTATATTTTCTTTCTTTTTTAGTTCCTATATTTTTTCTTTTTCTTATTCTTTTCAGTTTTTATATCTTTATTGTATTTTAAAATTCTAATTGAAACATATTTTAGAAAAACAGAACAAACAGCATGAAAAGACATTTTGTTAAAAATTTTCATATTCTCTCTATAGAGTTCCTGTTTTTAGAAACTTATGGTAATTCTTTACTATAGAAAAACTATAGCAAATCAAAATATCATCATCTCTTGCAGCTTGGCAAATAAAATAATTTCCTTCAGTTATCATGTGGAAGGAAAGATGCAAAAGCCAAAATTAAAGAACTTTTATCTAAATACTACTGTGAAGACAGGTGCTTAATTTTTGAAACGTAAAGATAATGATGAAGAGACACTGTCATTGTTTTTATTTCTCTTAGTTTTTGGGGGGGCTTCTAGCTTCTAGCACTAAACTGGTTCATCTCCCTTCACAGGGGGATTAACAGAAATATAGCTCATGTGAGATACATCTATGTTTGAATCAAATATATCCATTTCTGTTCAGCACTGATTAAGCGTGTACATCGCACCAATCTTTTGTTGTTGTTGTGAAGAGACATGATGAGTATAAAATACCATAAAAACCGAAGCTTTCTGTTGATTTCAATAAACTTTTCCTCCGGTGAAACATATATCCTTTTTCCTGCCATAAAAATATCACTTATTTCTTTGCTTCAGTTAAGAGCACATTAAATAGGGAAAATGCAATAAAAATGTAATCTTGCTTATTCTTTAGGCACTCATTTAATTCTTTGTCCTTTGAAAATACAGAGTTGGGAAACAACCTTACAATACAGTGTAAGATGGTTCTGTCCCAGAACCCTACAATCTCATCTCATACTTCCTTTCTATTAGTAGAAAATTATGACTGCTTAAATGTTCTATTTATTAATAAAATATGCTCAATGACCAGCAGGTATAATGATTTCTCTCTCTTCTCTTCCTCATATTAGTAAAAATAAAAATCCATTATCTGTTTAACAGCTTAATTCCTTAATACAACTTGTATAAACTGAAGATATCAGATTCTAAATAAGGGCCATTTGGTGCAATATTGGATAGCCCCTCAACATCTGTTCGTTATTAGCTATTAGATAACATAAATGCCAGACTTTATTGCTTTTCAATAAATGGGCAGAATTCAAACTGCAAGAATAATAGAAAGAATCCTATTTTTTTTCCCCTCATGGCAGTCTGTGAGGACAGTTAGCAGGAAGAATGAAAGCATAGACCAAGGTTTCAATGGCAAAACCTGTTGTATGTTACCATACAAATCCCACGTTCCAGTTTATTAGTAGTATTATTAGATTGCTAGTAGCTTTTTGTGAAAAAAAACCCACCCCATGAGTTTGGCACTGTTGCCATTATAAATGTAACATTTAATTGACTATAAAAGGGTGGATCTCTATAAAACAAGAGGGTCATAACATTTCTTGAGTCATAAAGGCCGCTCCTTGTAATGCTACAAATTATGTGGACACTTATGGCTCAATTTCTATTTTTTTCCATGTTTCCCAAAAGCCATGACATTATTCTCAAGTGCCTATTGTACGATCATTGTGCCAAATATTTTCCCAAATGTATAATGTTGTATCTTTCTGATCTTTTTCCTGGTAGTATTACAAAGTCATATTTATGGCACAATAAATGAGATGAGAATTTACTTCTTTCAGTGCACCAAATAAGCCACAAGCATAGTTGTATATAATCAACTAAATCTCTGAACAGTACATTTCCCAAAGTGGTATGGCATGAAATGGCCAAGTTTAGACATTGTTTAAGATATTCTAGTTGGAGCAGATTAAAAGATGTTGAATTTCAGTTGACCCACATTTTCCTCAGAGGGGAATAAATATGTAAAACAGATGAGGAAACAACATAAAGCAGAGAAATCCATTTTTGTGCTTCACTCCTTTGGACTTATTCCATGGAGGATGACTTGGCAAAACTATCCTTGAAGTCATTCCACAGGACAATAAAAGACTTGTGCTAGTGGAAGCTAGCTTCCTCAAAATGGTTGGAAGAGGTAATTCCCTGCACAAAAAAAAGTATTTACCTTAAAGCCCCCTCCAAATATTAACCACTCTTTGGCCAAAGGTACAATTGGATCTGGTCCTTAGAACAGATCTAATTTCCAAGCTAAATAACCATAGAAGAATCTGTTGAGAATGATTTTTGGCTGATTAGAAAATGCCCAATCAGGGGATGTTATCTCCTTCTCGGTATTTACCATTCTTTTTGTTAAATGTAATATCTATACCATAAATATATAATAAAATTTATGTTTGTTCTATTTATAACTGACTTACCTCTCCTTTTATCCCCTCCCTTCTGTGAGGTAGGATTGAGCTGAACAAGGCTGACTATTTCAGGTTTATATAATTCACTGGGAGTTCTAATATTGATCTTTCTTGAATCTGGTCCAACCCCTAAACCACTACCCAGAACTCATTAGAAGACTTACAGACTTAAAATCTAGAGTGAAGTATGTTGTCAATTGAGGTCCATAGCTGGCCTAGGTTACTCACCTTAAAAGGAGGACTGGAATCACTGGGGCGAGCAGAAAAATCAAATGAGATAATAAGATCAACTCCTCGCTGTGGTCTTAAGATAAGTGGATATGGCAAATTAAAAGTAAGTCCACTGTCCACAACATGAATTTTTTTACTCTTTACATCCAGAGGCTCATATATCCTGTCAAATTCATCAGGATCTAGGAAAAGGGAGGTAACAATATCGAGGATTAATGCCATTTTCCAAACCAATTCTCATATTTCAAATTTAAAAAAGAAAGTCTTTCAAGAAAGCTAAGAAATACTGGGATTAGGTATATATTTTAATTCAGAGAATTCTAAAATTAAATGCACAATAGAAACCAGAGTTTTGTTCTAGATTTGATAGACCCGCAAAATGAATAACAAAAAAAACCCCATGAAATTCTCTTTTTCTACATGATAATAACAGCAAGGCTTCTTTATGCACAAGAATGAAAGGACTCCCAAATACCAACAATGGAAGAATAGATGATGAAGTTAATGGAGTTGGTGAAGATGAGGAAATTGATTGTTTGGTTTAAAGAAAAGTCTTTATCTAGCCTTGTTCCTTCTTGGAAACCACTTTTGGACTTTTTTCTCAAAGCTGAAAGAAATGAAACTTTAACCTTGGGATCTGATGACTAGATCTGTTTATAACCACAGAAGCTCTGTGTGCTATCATTTTCTATAGTTCAAAGGGTCATTGTATTTCATGCTTGTACCAAAGAAAATCAGAAGTTACTCTTTTCCCATTCTTATCCGCAACCCTCCCCCACTGTTGCTTTTTCCCTGCTTCCCCTTTCCTCTTTGCAACTTTTTTTTTTTGTATTTTATTCAGTAAAGTAATTCAGTAACGTTTGTGGAAAAAATAAAATACTTGAAAGTCTCACATGTCTGGTTTAAATAAAAGCAAGCTATTATATATACTTTTAGTCAACCACTGTAACCAGTTCAGGATATTTACAGTGATAAGTCCAATGTGGTAATGGGAGAGGAGGGGTGGGGCATTAATTCGCACATAACCCAGGTTATAGGTGAGTGATATTATTCTTTAGTCTCTTAGGCTCACTACTCATCTCCAGTGTGGTTATTGGTTAGACTGTTGAAAGTACAATCCACATTCAATGTGTACCTTGGAGCCAGTCAATATCTCTCAGACTAAACTACCTTATTGTGATTCTTTGAGAAGTCAAGGAGAAAAAAAAAAGGAAAAGAAAGAAAACTGTGCATCTCTTTTGAGCTCCTGGGTGAAGGTCGATGGGATATAAATGCAGCGGATTACATGATTTGTGCCTGCAGCAACTGAGAGAAGACAATCCCAGTCAGTTATACACTCTCTTCAAAAGTGGCATATCTAAATGATGGAACGTTGATCAGCATGAGCAGGAAAATGTGAAGCTATGAGGAATTCTAATTTCATAGAAGCCAGAACATAAATCACAAAGTGTCAGGAAAAGGAGGAAGGAACCACACACCTTTTGGACGTTAAAGATTTTTTTACCCAACTATTTCAAATTTGGTGAATATGTTTTAGAATCTGCCTAAGGAACTACCTGATGCTTTATGAAAATGGTCAAAAAAATAAAATATATTCATTTACAACAAATGCTATCTAACTGGAGGGGGATCAGGGGACATCTGCATTAAATGAAGTTTCTTATGGGCCACTCTCTAATACCAGAGTTTATTTTTTTTTCCCAAGATGAGGCAGACATGACCTCATTTTTCCACTCTATTGTTTCAATTATTTCTGTAGAGCTTTACTAGACCATGCAAAGCAAGTTTCATATGGATGAATAAATGTAAGATCTAAGGACAAATGCGCATCTGGGTATTCTTTTGTAAATACAAATTCAGCATGGAAAACCACACATTTGGTTCAGATTATTACAACCTCGTTCCATTTCTTATTTGCGGTTGCAGCTTCCATATGTACAAGCAGTTCATCTGAAATAGTACATCCTCTCTTCCAAGAATGGACTGAACCAAGATTACGTGAGAAACAGAGATATTTCCTTTCCGGAAGTACTTTTAAGGGAAGCCAGAAAGTCTAGAATGAACTTTTGTTTCGATTTGAGTCTGTGCTTGAATGAGAACTTATTAATGAATATATGGTACAAAACTCTCTATTCATTTTCCTCTGAAGAGGGAATTTGGGAAAACAGCTATTTCAGCCATTTCTGTCAGCCCAAGATAGCTGGGAAGACAAAATAAAGAGATAGTTGCTGCTACAGGCAACCCCTTGAGCTTCTAGATGAAAAGTAGACTTTAAATGTAAAACCATCTAAAAATAAAATGTCAGTCCCCACTCTTCAAAACTCTATGTATATACTAAGATATAAAGATATAATAAATAGCAACCTTCACCTAATGAAGTCCCTGCAGATTTTATTCCGCTAGTCATCGCCAACTATAGGGCGTGGTGCTCATCTCTGTTGAGCCAGCGCTATCCGAAGATGTTTCCGTAGTCATGTGGCCAGCATGGGTTTCATGGAGCACTGTTACCTTCTCACTGAAGTGGTGCCTATTTATCTACTTGCATTTATAGGATTTTGAACTGCTAGGATGGCAGGAACTGGGGCAAGAATGTCCATTTACCCCATCGCGCAACACTCAGGTCTCGAACCTGGGCTGTTGGCTTTCCAGACGACAAACCCAGTGTTTTAATTGCTGAACCACTGCACTGCCCACTCTCACCTAATTCGATATATATTGACATGCACACACCACTATAGAAGTTATAGGATACCTGACTTTCTAATAGAAGGAAACTGAAATAAATAATAAAAGATATTCTAGACTTCCTTCCTTGAAAAGCCTACACACTTATAAATCACTGGGACTTAATGGCATCCACCTAAGAGTTCTTTAAAAATTTCAAATGTGAAATTGTCAACTCCTAGCTCCTCCCACTCCCAAAAATTCAACTGCTACTCAAATTAGCTTCAGTTCGGAGGACTAGGAGGTAGCCAGTGTGACACCAATTAAGAAAACGAACAACCAGGGGAAATTTTGCAAATTACAAGCTGGTCAGCTTAACATTTGCACCAGGCAAAATGATAGAAATCATACATTAAGAAGAAAAATAACCAGATACATAGAGTAAAGTAAGAGAATTTTAATAAAAATCTGAAGGGGTTCTACAAACATACAACTTGTTGCACCAATTGTTGAGAGTTTTTTGATGCTATCAATAAGCACATGGCTGGAATGACCCTGTTGATGTTGCATACTTGGCCTTTTAAAAAGATTTTGACAAAGTTTCTCATCAAAAACTCTTGAATAAAATAAACAGATATGGGAAAAAAGAAGCCCTCTTTTTTTTGGGGGGGGGAGATTGCTAAGTGGTTAAAAACAGAAAACAAAGAATAGAGATGAATGAACAGTTTTCTTAATGGTAGGTGGTAAGGAGTAGAATCCTCAAAGGTCTGTTCAGGACTTAGTTTTTTAGTTTTGTTTATGAGTTACTTTGAGGAAGCAATAGAATGATCATGTTTGTAGATGAGTAGCCCTTGGACTATTGTGAGAAACAACACGGTGGACTATAAAGGTTATGAGGAGTAAAAGGTAAAGATAAAGGTTTCCATTGTTCAGGTGTGCCCAATTCTAAGGAGTGGTGCTCATCTCCATTTCTCAGCCGAGGGAGCCAGCATTGTCTGAAGACATTTTCTGTGGTCATGTGGCCAGCATATTTATATGTCCAGGTGCAGGGAACGCTGTTACCTTCCAAATGAAGTGGTACCTATTTATCTACTTGCATTTGCATGCTTTCAAACTGCTAGGTGGGCATGATGAGAGTTCACCCCATCGCAGGGAACTCAGGTCTTGAACCAGGGCTGTCTGCTTTCCAGCTGACAAGCTGAACATCTTTAACTGCTGAGCCATCGTGCTCCTTTGTTATGAAGAGACAGACATTTAAAAGAAATATTTTTACTGAAACATTTTTCAAAATGCGTGCTATTTTAACCTTTAGGTAGGATTTATAGTTCCATCTTAGCTGATACTCTTCCAAAGAAAAGACAACTTGAGGGGAAGAGGTTTATTTTAGAAAGCAAACGCTCTAAGTATGAAAGGGATTGTATGAGAATATTCATATGCTACTAAACGTCCAGATTACTTAGTCTCCACTTACACTTGAACAATCTTACTACAAATAAATAAAGGAGAAAATTGATGAACTGGAATAAAGTGTTTCTTATTATACAACCTCCAGTAACTAAGAGGAGTGAATAAAGAAAATTTTGGAAGTTAAGTCAAAGACATACCAGAAAAGTTCATGTGTCAGGCTCTTTCTAATAACCAAGCCCATGTAAGACAAGATAAGGAAGTGTCAAAATTATGCTAGTTGCCACCGCTTCCCAGAATGAGAATGCTGATCATGTTAACTGTCAGCTGGCCCCACACCCAAGCCTAAAGACTAAAGCCAGATGTCTTTTAAGTGCTGAGAAGTCAGGGAATAGAAGTGCTGGATTTAAATTGCAGCAGATACAAAAGGGGTCTGCACTATCCTGTTAACAAAGAGCGGTCAACTGCTTAAAGTGGCTTCACTCCCTTATATGCTAAAGGTTATTATCCAGTTATGTGTCAAGTGTTTGCTCTGTTCCAACTAGAGTGCCTAAGAAGCATTTTGACAACTCAAGGGCAAGGAAAGTACTATGGAGTGAGTGAAATTGGTTTTGTAAGACCTAAACTATGCACGACTCCTTATGTATACAGGTGGTCCTTGACTTACAACCACAACTGGGACCAGAATATATGTTGTTAAGCAAATGAGTTGTTGTGCCTGATTTTACCTTTTTGCAATGATTATTAAATAAATCACTGCAGTTAAGTAGAATGACATGGTTGTTAAGCAAATCTGGCTTACCCATTTGACTTTGCTTGTCAGACGTTCATTCATTCATTCATTCAAATTTAATTTATATACCGCCCTTCTCCCATAGGACTCAGGGCGGTTCACAGCATATTTAAAAAACAGATATTATACACAATATACAAAAAATACAAAAATACAACAATATAAACCCCAATAAAAACCGAATTAAAAACCAAATATTGACGGCTGTGTTTCCAATTAAAATTGCTTCTAAAATCATCCCTACCTAAAATCCTCCCTAGGTCAGGCCCGCTTGCTGGAAAAGCCATGTCTTGAGGGCGCGGCGGAAAGTAAGGAGATCCGGA